TTTAAAAGATTTAATGATGATGGTAACTGATAAGTTCACACAATAAGTTACGATAAGTCCTGTCTTGAAAATATTTTTATGATAATAACTTACGTTTTGTGCTCTCATGGGAAGAGTAAATTTTTTTCAATGGTGTATAAAAGACATGCCTGAAGGAGAAGCTGTATCATTTCGTGACTGATCATGGATCCTGCAGTATCCCAGGCCCTACTTAGTTTCTTGAAGTCCGCTGGGGAGCGAGAACGGAACTGACGTCCAGAAGCGGGACTATCGGAAGTTTGCCGAGCCATTCCAACTGATCAATGGCGAACTCAATCACCAGTCAAAGAAGTGTGCTCAACCGAAGAAGGTGATCCTCGGGAAAGAAGAAAGGAATCGCGTATTGGATCTCTACCATCGTGGAATTGGTGGTGGGCACTTCGGAATGAACGCGACTCTTCGCAAGCTTGAGAAGTATTGGTGGAAGAACATGACTTCCGACGTGAAGAGGTTTGTCTCATGTTTATTTAATATTATTTTTAATATGACGCTGGCAAAAAAAAAATTATTTTCTCTATTTGTACTCATTCACCTTACCGCTATTTTTTCTTCACAGGTTTTGTTCGTCCTGCATTGTTTGCCAAAAGGCCAATCCCATGAACAATCCAGCACCTGCAAAGTTACATCCAGTAAAGATTTTCTCTCGCCTCTTCCACCGTTGGGGCGTTGATCTGGGTGGCCCACTCAACGAGTCAAAGCAGGGAAATTCTTACCTCTGTGTTTTTACGGAGTACTTGACGAGGTTAGTATCGTAATAAAAGTTATTATTGATACATACATGTATAAAATATACATATATATTTAGGTATTTTTCAATGTTATATGGGTATAGTGTGCCTGAAACACTCTTCCATCTTCGTCTTCCATCAGATGGGCCGAAGCTTACCCGATTCCTGACAAGACAGCTGTTTCTGTAGCGGAGTGCCTGATGGACGTCATTTCTCGCTTTGGGGTCATGGAAAATCTCCTACACGACCAAGGCAGGGAATTCAACAACCAGTTGAATGATGCCATCAGAGAGCTTCTTGGGATAAAGAAGTGTATGACCTCGGCCTATCATCCACAGACTAACGGTAAGGATTGTCATTAATGCATGGCAGTTACTCGTAGCTGTAAGGATTGAAAGGCAGTTTTTGATAGTCGATATAATTCATTTCATTTGTCCTCAGGGCTCACTGAGAGATACAATCAGACATTAATTGCGAAGTTGACTGCCCACATGACTGACCGAGGTGATGATTGGGAGACACACCTAAGGAGCGTCATGATAGGGTATAGGTGGAAGGTGCAATGCTCCTCCAAATTTTCTCCGTTCGAGCTCATGTTCGGGGTGGAACCGCGTTTCCCCTACGAGCTCGACAGTCCCATCACCTCAGAAGACCTTGCCGATCCAATCTGGACTGAGGAGACTGGAGAAGAGATTGAGAAGAGGATGGGAGAAATTGAGCTTCGACTAAAGAATAGGAGGCAAGAAGGTCTGCAAAACCTGGAGAAAGCTCAAGAAAAACAGAAGGACGCCTACGACCTGAAGAGGTCGGGACCTGCATACAATGTTGGAGACAAGGTTCTGAAGCGGAACGCGAGGAAGGACACGCGCATGGGAGGAAAATTGGAAGAGAGGTAATTATTTTACCATTGATCGAAAAAGGGCAACTCCTAATCAAAGTGCGATGTAGGACATGATACATTTTACTTGCTAAACATTCATGTAACCAAANCATAGTCCGTGCTATCTCCCGTCCGCTTGTACGCATCCCATTTCCGCTTTTTTTCCCTGATGAGAGATGAAGCAGTTGCTGCAATATCATCCATGCTGTTTCCCATTCCTTTCCTGTCTCCCCAACCGAATGAGAAGGCGCATCAGCACGGAAGCCTTGCTCATTACTGCTTATTCTGTTCAAATACAGGTGTTTTCTCGTTACCCATGCAGTGAAAGAATACAATACAATAAGAAACATTTTACCTCTACAAATTAATTCCCAAATGTGTGATTATTGATGTCAGATTTTCATTCGCCTTTTTTTCTACTATTGAACAAAGGAATATTTATCTTTGCAGTTCATATGCTATTCCTCCACCTAATGTATTTCGTCCCGAAAGAGTTCTTTCATTGGGTGTCAAACTAGCTATTTTTGGATGAAGTATCAGAGGAAGAACAGGTTGCATAGATCGAAGAGATCCCTTGGAGCAACTCAAGTTAGGGATCCACCATTCCATATCTGCGGAGGATCTATAACGGGCAAAACGCGCGTGATCACAGCAGCCCATTGCCGCGACAGCCAGTCAGCCGATAACCTCCACGTGAAAGCTTCAGCTAGCTGCTGATCATTCCAGCTCGCTTATCGTGCCCTGCGTGCAGCGTGGGTTTCCCTTTCGAACCTGAAGGTCGGGGCTGGCAGCGATCGAGCTGATGCGCGGAATGTCTCCGGCGCAGTCTTCAGCATCACCACTCATCCGAGCTACGACCCGTTGGTGTCCTTCAGAAGCTTCACTCATCCTTTTTTCCCCCTCAATATATTTTCATTCTATGAGCTTCACTTACGACGAAGCCTAATTCATGACGTCATAAGCGAATCGTATAGCACTGCGTCTGATGGGCGTTTAGTTCTCCCAACGGCCTAGAATACAAAATACTTCCAAATACTTCTTTCACACTGGATCATGGCGTCTGCGTCGCACCCTTGACTTCCCATGGTCACGCCGTCCGAGGACAAGGGCGGACAGTCTCACTCCCTGAGCTGAACAAGGAGTATCAAAGTACATTTCGATATCCGGATGAGTGGCGGTACCACCGATGACGCAGTCAGAGAATATGCAGAGGAATAGGGATGGAAAGCCACAAATGCATCGATATTAGACTTGCGTTTTTTGTTGCCGGTATCGACAAGAATTCTCATAAGAAACATGCATTATGGCGGCGTATGTAACATCGCGAATTCCACTAGATAGAACTCATCGAATGGATCATAAACAGTCATGCAGTCATGTGCACTACGCAATCAGTGCACACGATAGCAGTTATCAGCTAAAGATTACTTTTCTTGGATTCTACCGGAAAATACAGAATTCTTTAATAAATATGTACTTTACTTGCAGAAGAACTAAATTGTGATTGTCTAAGTTTGATGCATCACGCGGCCTCAACTTGTCGGTCCGAAGGCTAAAAGCGTTTCAGTAGCACAGTTTTATACGGCGGATCTACCGCAGTCTCAGGTTGTACCAAAAATTACAATGGGTCATATTTCGGTGGGAACCTCAACGACTCGGAAAATTTTTTACATTAACTCTGTACTCAATATCAAATATGGTGTCACAGCACATATAAATAAAATCTGTCGCGGTCCGTGGCATTCGCGTGCCCTGATATGCGCGTGAGTTGGGCAATAAGAGAAAATCCCATAGTGTGGAGTGAATGGTGATTAGGCGCCATGAGCCCAACAAGTATGGCTTTCAATTGCAGCACGCATGCACATACTGTTCCTCTGGGTGTGTCATCTCCAGTTTCTTCTTAGCTCAGTGGCTTTCCAATAGCTATAACAGGTATACGCAAGGTGGCATGAGGTCATTTAACGTTTGGAAATGTGCGCGGCAGGTTGCGATGTGAGTAGCGTGAGGCCGCCATTAAAAGCCCACTTTGTCTTACGAGGCGAAGATTTAAAGTAACGCCTTGATCTTTGGGTTGGTCTTCATCTTCACTCGGCACCATTTCCCCGTCCATTGCAATGACGATTTACGAAGCGCAGGGGCGTAACGAGAACTTAGGGGTACTTTTGCCGCGTCCTGTCTTCTCACATGGTCGGGAGTGTGGCAACCACCGCCGGTAGCCAAATGCGCATTCTGCGCCTTTAAATATTTCCGTGCTTTCAAAAACGTTATCTTTCAATTGCTTGAAGTAGATGGTGGTTACGCATTCGGACTGATAAACGAAACCTCTGCTACCTTCGCCTAAGCGCATGGCCTACGAGAGTATCACTTTTTAGGTCATAGGCTTGGCTCCTGTTCGAGCAAATCGGGAGCATCTCCTAGAAGGGATTGCGCGATCGCGATGAGTTACTAGTTTCGCTCATTGTGTTAATGGGTACACGATGAAACTCGCTAAAATATCAGATTGGATCCGGCAGGTTCCGGAGATACGGTGACGTATTGTATGGCTTTTCCACAGGGGTGTCTGCACTTCGGAGCGACGAACCAGCTTGGATGTGGAGAGAAATGTGAGTTTAATAGCCTAGAAGTACTTTAAATTTCTTATAAATGAGGAAATCCTTCATCAAGAAAACCATACGGTCAAAACTCAACAAAGGCTTTATTTACTTTAACGCGAAACATGGAATGTGACTGACCTGGTCCGCGACCCATACTTTGAGGACTTCAGCAGCAGGTCCTCGCGAATGAGCCCAGTGATTCCACGTTCTTCCCTGTCGAGTCTCGCCCCCACATTCCCGTGGAGGAAAATCGCAAGTCGTGATATAATCTCTTTTCCCGGATGGGGTGAACACGCACTGAGGCGATGTTCCACTTCGACTTTCATGTCTGATGACCTTGTCTTCCCCCTTGGACAAGGTCAACAACCAGTTCCACTTGCTGCCCTGCTCAAGGTGGAAAGGGAACTGAGGTGTGGAGTTAATAGAAACCTGAAGGAGGCAAAAGGAAACTTTTCATGAAGGGATACGTTTATCTGACAATAAAGTTTAGTTTTGTGTCTACTTGAATCCTCCGGGTCATCTAATATGTATAGACGATCGTGACTGACTAACGTAAATTCTAACCATGTTCTAGAGAAGTTAGAAATATGAAACTTGGTACACATGTACCTTTTGGGATGCAGAGTTCAGAAGAAATCCGACTTTGGAGGTACATGCCCTGGGGTTACACATTTTGGGGGGAGAAGTTTTTAAAGATATATAGTGTGACAGATTAGGATGACATCGAGAGGGTTGACGGGATGTCCCGAGTTCTGTGGTGTAGTGGTAGCACACCTGACCGGCAATCAGGAGGCCAGGGTTCAATTCCCAGCCGTTCCTTGGCTTTCTTTCGGCGTCTTACACCTTCCAAGTCTAGTTGCTCATTCCCCCTCCGTAATAATGTTTCTGCTATTAGTAAAACAGAGAGACATGGAAAGCTGAAAGTTGGCATGGATATGCCTACCGAGACTATGAATCCAGGAAAAATGTAAAATTTAAGATCCATGCCCTGTGGGGGCATATTTTTAGGGGCCGACGTTTTCATGTAATTTTTTTGCCCTGGTGAATTGAGGTGGAGTGGAAAGATGAAACTTGGTACATAACTATCTATTGGGATGCTGCGTACAGAAAAAATCAGACTTTGGAAGTAAATGCCCCAGGGAACACATTTCAAAGGGTGATGTTTTCAAATAATTCTTCTGAATCGGTTAAACTGATGAACATGCAAAGCTGAAACTTTGCATGAATGTGACTACTAAGGCAAGGAGTTAACGAAAAATATTAAGTCTCGATAAATCCCTGGGGAATTTTTTTCGAGGGGCGATGTTTAAAAAAATTTTGTCGTGGGGAATTGGACAGAAATGGAAAGGTGAAACTTTGCACACGCATAAGTTACATTATATTATTATTATTTAGTCGAGGGAGTATTAAGCTTTCATAATGCCTCCCCTCCTGGCATTGCTTTTGGGTGCGTCGGCATTTCCAAACATGTTTTTTCACCAGCGAAAAGGGCAAACGTATTAGGTTGAAACTTTGTGGGCATGTAGTTCTCTGATGATTGATTTCGGTAAAAAAAAAAAGTACTTTTCGGTTAAAACGCCTGAGGGCACATATTGCAAAAGGCGTATTTTCTCGATTCCCAGCGAAAAAGAGGACGCTAGAAAGTTTAAACATGCCAAAGAAGAACGTGATGGAATGCTGAGTAGAGAAAAAATTCTCCTTTTATTATATATTATATAGAGGATCGTGAGTAGCAGACTAACTGACATGAGTCGCTATTCGCATGCTGATATCAGGAAACATTATACTTTGGTAATACATGCCATAGGGGCACACCTTTTCGGGAAACATAGTTTCAAATAGTTCTCTTTGCTTCAATCAAACGGAGACACATGGAAAGATGAAACCTGGCAAGAACGTGACTGCTGACGCACTGCGCTCAGGAAAAATGTCACATTTCCAAAATATTGGAATTTAGGGGGGATATTTCTTGGGGACGATATATTTTCAAATAATTTTTCATATCCTAACAAATCGGGCAGATATAGAAAAATAGTAGCTGGCGCACGCGTGACGGACGTGATGTTGATTTGAGGAAAAATTCTACTTTTGCTGTGCGTCTCCTCAGAACACAGCTTTTGGGTGGGTCGCTTTCCCAAATAAATTTTTTTACCACCAGTAAAAAGGAGAAACGTATATGCTGAAACTGGGTGGCATGGAGTCCCTGAGTCTACATTTCAGAAGGAAAAAAAAAGTTCGTTAAAACCCATCAGGGCACTATTTATTAAAGTCCCATTTCCCTGAATTATTATTTGATCCAACGAAACAGAGACAGAAAATTTAAAATTCCCTCAGAAGTACCTATTTGATGGCTGAGTACAGGAAATATCCTACTTTTGAAATATGCCCCATTAGCGTATATTATAGGAGGGAAGTATTACAA